AACAGAGTCGAATGTGAAAACAGAATCAAATTCTTGTGGGGAAGAGCTCAGTGTCAAATCATCCTTCTTTGGGACTGAGCAGGGTGTAAGGGAGAATCAGCAGGACTTGTTGGCTAACAACCAGCATAGGAAATGCTTTAAGTGACTGAGCCTTAAACAAAACAAAACAAAACAAAACAAAACACATTCTTTGCACAAATCCAGACTCTAAGTGATGGTCCACAATAGTTTCCATGATGTATCCTTGAGTTACTGATGAGCGACTCACAACCTCCATTCCTCTGGCAGCAAAGGTCAAGTTCTTTGGCCCCAGAGGTCTCTAAGCTCTTGGAGGAGAGCGAGAAGAATATGGCTTCCTGACTCCCAACCCAATACTCTCTTAAGACCAGGATGTGGATATGCCTCCTTGCTTCTCTGCCTCCTGGGAACTGTGGGGGTCATGAGAGATGGGAAGGAGCTCACTGCTGTCTCAGAGTAATCACAGTGTGTCCACTTAGCACAGGGCAGGGTCAGTAAGCATGGCATATACATGAGGGTGTGGCTGGGAGTCAGTCCTGGGTGTCTGCAGTGAGCTCTTTTCCCCTATGTGTCCTGCCTTACTTGTTCCTAAAAACAGAATATGGAAAAGGAGGAGAGAGTCCCACCTGATATTCACATGGATACTGCAACATTACCTTGCAGACACTCCGGCTGGCTGTTTCTACTCTTACTAAGCAAACAACTGTGTTCCAGGCTGGCCTGTAAAGTAGCTCCTAGATAGGCTGTCCTCAGCACCTCACCACAGAATCCCATGAAAACTCTCACAGCCTACCAGGAACTGAGCCAGAAGGAGCCACACCAGGGAGGAGGAGACCCTTCCCAATTTGAGTCATGAGATGAAACCATAGTCCAGATCACACTTGACTACAGCCATAGGAGAGACCCTGGGTACAGTGCCCAGCCAACCTGAGCCCACAGTTCTTACCTGCAAAATCCATGAGCTAGCAGATGTGTGCTTTAAACTGGGCATTGGGATAATTTATTATACAACAACAGATGACACAGAAAAGTTGACACATATCAATCCATTCTCTTAAAACTCAAGGACTATGTGATTGATTAAGCTTTTATTTAGACCAGATTTTGAACAAAATACTATTTGTAACAGAAAGATGCTTTACTACCTATAAAACCAGTCCCCTCAGCAACTCCTTAAAAACTACAGTGAAATTCTTAAAAAAAAAAATTCTAGAAAATGCTCTCTAAGGAAGAGCATTTTCTAGATATAAGTTCTCTTTCCTCTTAGAAACTCACACAATACTTTAATCTTTAAATGATCTTAGATACTGCATTTTAAATTACTTTCCATCCTTGCAAAAGAGTTTTGAAAACTTTCCACATTTGTCAAATATTTCTCAGGATTAAGAAACAAAGTTGCTCTAAATAAGAGCTTGTTTAAGGCGTTTTTTTAATCTATCAGTATTTGGTGTAGCTTTCAACATAAAAATTAAAAACAAATTACTACTCCCTCAACATCTCACTTAGTTTCAAAAGGACCCTCCAGAAACTGTACATTAAGGAATGATATGACGTTCTACCTACACAATAACAAAATAAAGCTTATTCATCAAATATTAGCACTTCAGAGCAGGAATGATCTCTTAAGAAGAAAGGAGATGGGAGAAATAAATATTATGCAAACTGTAAGGCTGGTGCCCCATAAAGAAACATATGATATTACTTACTATTTCCTGTATTCTAGGCACAGTTTATGGGCACATAAATATCCATATTGCAGAAAAATGGAATATGGTACTTTCTCAATTTTTCCTGATAACTGATTTTTAAAAACATTTTTACAAGGGTCCTTTTGAAGATAGAAATAAAACATAGGGCTGATACAGTTAAACTTAGCTGATTTGTGAATGGTCAAGGATACAAGTTACAGAATGAGTAATATGAAAATAGTAGAAAGAGGCATGCTAATTAACCTGGTCCCATACTTCCTAGTAAATGTTGCCTGTAGCATCTTTCATAATGGAGGTGGCATGACTTACATCTAGATGCTCCACCATGAGCCTCATGTGCTCATGCGCTTTGGGGAGGTGATTGTGATACGCATCACTGGATTAGTCCACTGATGAATTTATGGCTAAATGTGATAATCAGAGGTGAAGCCTAGGAGGAGGAGGAGGAGGACGAGGAGGACGAGGAGGTGGCCTTTGGGGGCGTGGCCTGGAAGGATCTATCTCCCTTCCTTCTTCTCTCTTCAGTTCTATTTCCTGCTTGACATGTCATGAAATGTTTCTCCTCTGCTGCACCTCTGTGTCATGCTGCCCTGCTAAAACTTCTACAAACTGTGAGTCAAAATAAATCTTTCCTCGTTTAACTTGTGGGTGTCAGATATTACATCCCAGAAGGTCTCCCCTTTTATCTCATAACTTGTGTTTGTGATGGCATTCCAGCAGCCCACAGTGCACCTTGATCCAGTGCTCAGAGCTTCAGAGAGAGAAGGACACCACAAACACATTTAACTGACACCCAGTGTATACAGATGGTCCTACGCTAGGATGTGGGTAAGCACATGAGAAAGAAGATCTGTCCCTGTCTTCGAGCAGCTGCCAAAGGCAAACGTGAGCAGATGGGATAATGCAGTCAAACAGCTGGAAACCGATACAACATCAGGACTAGTACAAATGGGGGGCAATGGAGAGATGTGACAAACGCCATAGAGATGACACCCAATCTCTCCTTCAGTTTCCACTTTGAGGTGGCATGACTTATATCTAGATGTTCCCCCAAGGCCTCATGTGCTTTGGGAAGGTTATTGGATCATGGAGCGTCTTGTGTGTAGATGTATGTAGACTCCTTAACCACTGTCCTCAGATGCCCCTTGTTGTCTTCTCCCATGTAATCCTGACAGCTTTCACCTGTGTTTGCTTATGTGGTACCCAGGTAACTGATTCCGAGGGGCCCTGGACACACACACACACACACACACACACACACACACACTCCATTAATTCATTATTGTATTATTAATATAATCATATACCACACCAAGCACAGCTTAGGAAGCCCCTACCTAGTCCTCTTACTTCACAATGACAGATCTAGACTCTTCCATCGAAACCTACCCTGTTTTGCAAACTCATTTCCATCTTAGTCTGTCTGGTTAGAAAGTCTTGCCTCACATCGAACTTCAGATTCTCATGTGGAATCCCAAGCTCCTTTTCTTTGTTTTCCTCTGAAGAACACAGATTCTTTGCATGGATGCCATGTGCACAGCAATTGATCAGTACCTGGAAGGTGTGTCAGGTGCTTCTTTTATGCCACCTGACTTCACTGTCTACCTGACATGTTACCAGCATCAATTTTGATAGATTTCCCACATTTTTGATCACCTTTACAGTTCTCTAAATCCTTTTCCAATTCCGTTTATTTTCCATTGGCTGAGAAAAAAATAGTCTTATGAAAAATGCCAATAAACATTGCAGAGCAAGAAGGGGCGTGTGTGTCATGGTCCCACTTGCAGCATGTGATCTACATGGTTAGGGGTCATGCTAAAAACTCTAGATAACCTCTACCACAACCATTATTGGTTGCAATGGGATCTGATGGCCTGTTTCAAAGATGTGCTGGGAAAGAGGAGGGAGACTGGTGGGGAACCCACCTGCCCAGAACCACAGCTGTGAACACTCCCCTTCAACACACAGACAGGAGGACCTCTTCCACAACATTCCCGGGCACAAAGACAGACTTTCCAAGGCTCCTTAGGACAGGTGCTGGATCCTACTTTTGGGTGCTCCGTGATGAACTATTCTTTAATGAAATAACCTCAAACCCTTCCATGTTTTTCTCACTCAGTGAGCTATGCCTCCTGAAGCAGCAAACTCACAGAAGATCTGCAGGTTTCTGATGACTTGTGTTCCAGTTGTTTGCATTTACTCACTCAGGCGTGGAGGAGATGAAAGATCTGGAAGTTTCCAGGGGTGAAGGAGGGGCTAAAATAGTCATCATCCATGGGTGGATATCATGTCCAAGTACTAAAAGTCACCACTTCAGGGTTGGGGTTAGGAAACTCAGAGCTCCAAGGTTACAAGTCATCCTTTAGAATATCAAGTTCACCAGCTCCTTCCAATCACATCGATAAAGATGCCCGAGTGTTCCCAAGAATTTGGATGGAGACTTGTATCTCCACCAGCAGAAAACTCCAGCTTTTCCTGTGGTTTATAAATCAGAAAACCTGCCTACTGGGGTCAGAGAGGCCTCACTGAGCTGACCTATGATGCTGGCACCATTTGCCTCATAGAGGCCACAGGGCATGCTAATGCTATGGTCTCAGGGAAGCAGAAAGCCATACAACGCTGTTTTAGCTCCCAGAGAATACATTTCCTAAGATGCACTCTCTAAAGCTGCCAATCTCTTATAAGCTGAACAAATGTACAATTAATTTCACCAAGACGCAAAAGAAAATTTAAAATACCAGCATATTAAAAGAAAAGAAGAGTGAGACAGTGAGAAAGAGAAGCATAGGTTTCTGCTGAAGCCCTGGGTGAGATTTTATAGAAAATTTTGGTGAAATTTTATTGGAGGCATACATTCAATGCTAAAATAAAAAATTTTAAAACGAAAATGATGTTTAACTTTCACCAGAACACTATAACGGCAAAGAGAATTTCGTTTAGCAAGAATTTGGTGTGCAGTTTTTGTTCTCAGGGTAAAAGGTACAGCAGGTGGGGAAAAAAATCACACAGAAAACAGGCAGAATGTCTAGAACGAGACTGTCTCAAAGACTATGAAATAGCTTCTATAAAGAATGATTTTTTTCCCTGACAAGGAAGCGTTTATTCCTTTCTTCTCTCCTAGGTGGCAGTATGATATACAAAAGAGAGTATTCCAGGACCCACAAGATACTTCAGCATTCAAAAATCACAAAGAAGGGAGACTCCAGGAAATTGACTTAATGCAGTATTGAAGTACAGACGGTTGTTTTGTAGACAGAGCAGGCTGGTACTCACCGGCTCCACATCGTATGAAAAAAGCGCATATTCTCTATCTGGAGATATTTCATATCTGATGGCTTTTAGTGATTCCTAAAAGAAAAAACAATTAAAGTATCATATGTTGTAACTCAGAATCCTGTACAAAATCTGTGACAGATGCTACCATTTTCAAAATTTGCTACTAAATTAGTGAGTACCAAACTAGTAACTGTAGCATCTATTTAACTGGCTAGATCCATTCTTCCCTAGTTGACCGATAACCAATGCTTTTCCCTATTTTATTTATATATTTTCCTATTTAAACAAGGTAATCTTTACTTTATCTCCTGAAATAAAGAGAAATGTGCACAGAACAACTTTTCCATGCAAAATTCCCAACCTCTCAATATGTTTACTTTTTCCTCTTACATTACCATACTTAGAAGCACATATGAAGCAGAGTTGTTATTAAGCAGACTGATATTTATAGATCATCTGCAACTTGTTTGTTCTCCCTTGGGGTTATCACTGTAAGTCAGTACCTAGAGGACTCACTATCGCCTTTCTGAGGAATTTCTCCCTATCTAGCACACCAGTCATTGTCCCTACACAAAATCACAAGGCACTCGGCCCCTCTGAGTTGCCCTGACCTCTACACTCAAGCACAGGGCTGTGCCGACCCCACCCACTCTCAGGAGGCCCTCTGCCAGCCTGGGGGACCTCACTGCATAATGCTCAGATGCCCCTGAGGGGAAAAAGAGAGACTGGACAATTAAGTGACATGCATTATACATCTTTGTAACTTAGCTTTCTCATGCAATGATACCTTAAGGAAACGATGCAACGAATTTCCTGGATTAGTGATCTTTAAAAATTCCATAACAGGGACAAGGGGAAAAATGAGAACCAAGACCTATCATGTAAAGGTACAAGATCCCAATGATGAATGTAACTGTACTGTATACCTAAAATGTACCAATAAACTCAGTGAGGAAAAAAAATTCCATAACACCTTATTTACCTTCTGATACCTTAATTTGCTCAGTCCTCACTACAGACTGGCAGCCTTGTTCTTGATGACTGTGTTCTACAAAGTGACCGTGAATAGTGAATTAGTAAATATTAAACCACTGCTGCCAGGGGAAAGACAAACCCTTTTGGTTACGCTGTATCAACCAATGCACCCTGTTTCACGGGTGTCTCCGTCAAAAGGCAGCCTTTCTGACTGCATAGCATTGATGTGCTGACACTGAACTCGGGGCCAACAGTGCTACAGCTCAGCCCAAACACAGCTCATCTAACATGCACACATTTCCTCTTAAGGCACCTCACAGCCGGCAAGCACTTAGGCACGTGAGGTAGCACTTCAGTGCTTTGCCTGGGGACTCTTAAACAGCAACATCTCCAAAAGACACAAGCATGAGAGAAGATAAACGTAGCACTCAATAGACTGTGAAAAAGATACAACAGTTGTTCATAGCCCGAGAGCAGAAAGGAGGAAGCAGAGCAGCACATTGCTCTCCAGCCTGGAAACTGAATGCTGGACAGCACCTTCTGCTGCTGGGGTGGGGATGACACACAACTGTGACGGTGCTGTATTGCTTGGGAGATCCGAGTGGGCCGTAGCACAGCAGCGAGCTGCAGAAGCCGCGAGCCTGGAAATGTGCTGTGCAGTGCCTCCTGACAGCGCTGGCTGTGCACCATGCTGCCAGCAGATGCTTGCGTTTGTGTGTTTAACTCTCTCTATGTGTATGCAAGACATTTTCATAGGAGAGACACTTATGCCTGGCAGTCACACAGTCATAGTGAACAAGTTCTAAAAATGTAAACAGATGTCACCAAATCAGTTTCCAGAAATGGTTTTGGCACAGGTGTTTCCACTGCTGATATTTGACCAACCTTTCTCCCTCCTCTGAAAATGTATGTAACCTGTTTTTCCTTTGGGCTTTTTGATTTTTTGTACTGGGGATTGAACCGAGGCCCTTCACATTGAGCTACCGTGCCAGCCCTTTTTATTTTGAGACAAGTCCTTACTAAGCCACTAAGTTGCCCAGGATGGGCTTGAATTTGTGCTCTTCCTGCTTCAGCTTCCCAGAGTGCTGGGATTGCAGGTGTGCACCACCACACCCAGTCTCCATACGGTTTGAATCCTATGGGCTCCACCGATCCTCTACATTTCCCTGTTCATAGTTACCTATGACCCTCATTATTGATGGGGTATGCAGTGGGGAGTTGGTCCTAAATCTGCCCAGCCACAACCCCTTGAAAGTACTTTCAGTGCTCTGATTTCCCTCCTCCTATTTTCTTAATCACACTCCTGTCATGTATCTCCTCCACTGCACCAAACAGATCTTCTCTAGGTTACCAGAGTCTGGCTTTGCTAAATGCCATAATTCTCTCTGTCATCTTACTTGACAGCAAATACTGTCCTCCTCCTCCAAGCCCTGCTGCATATGGCCTTCCCCTGAGCTCTGCCCCACTCCCTTAGGGACTTTGCTTGCTCTTTTGTGTAACTGGTATTTCCCTGACCTCTGAGCAATGCAGTGCTGAGATCAGTATTTAAATCACTTGTCGGGCAATGATCACTTCCTGAATGACATCAATGGTCTCATGGCTCTAACAACCAAGCCTGCTGAGGACTCTGGCCCACACTCTCCTGCCCAGTCACCTGCACCCTGAGGCCTGACCTTGAACCTCAGACTGTGCATCCATCCACCTGCCTCCCTTGCAGCTCTCACATGCCGGATGCTCAAGGGCCAGTCTGCCATGGTCCAGGGCCTCTGCACTTCCTGTCCTCTTTCCCATGTGGTTTAGAGCAGGGGACCCAACCCTGGTACCAGTCTGAGGCCTACAGGAGTTGGGCTGCACAGCAGGAGTTGAGCAGCAGAGCGCAGAGCTTCTCTTTTTCCAGCTGCTTCCATCATTCCCTTGCACCCCTGTCTGAACTCCACTTCCTGGTAGATTAGAATCAGTATTATAGTCTCACAGGAGCAGCAACCCTACTGTGCATGCAAGAGATCTAGGTTAGGGGCCCCTCCGAATCATCCTGAAACCATTTCCTTGCCCAGCCCCAAGACCATGGAAAAATTGTCTTCTATGAAATTGGTTCCTGGTTTCAAAAAAGTTAGGGATTGCTCCTTTAGAACTTTCATTTCTCTTCAAATGCCACTATCTAAGTGAGTTCTCTCTGGTCTTTCATAGAGAGAAACCAACAGGTTTGCTTTGTGCTTTCCACAGTGCCCCCCTGATTTGTCTCCCTAGACCAAATCCTTATCTGAGACAACAAACACTCACTTATATTTTGCTCATTCCTTTCACTAGAATGTAAGCTTCTTAAAAAGGTTGTTTGTTTTAATCTTTAATTTCCCTCTGCAATATTTGTTGTTTTCAATATACAGGTTTTGCCATATTTTGCTAAATTTATTCCTAAGTATTTAATATGGTTGATGTTTTTGTTTGTTTTTTTTACTGGAGATTGAATTTGGGACCTTGCGCTTTCGAGGCAGGTGGTGGCACCACTGAGCTAAATCCCCCACCCTGGCTGATGTTTTATACTTACAAAATACACATGTGTTCCAAATTCAGTCTATAACTGTTAATGCCTAATATACAGAAATAGAATGGGCATTCCCACCTTGACTTTATGTTCTCAAACTGCAAAGTAAATAGCTTTAGTAATTTTTCGTAGATTCTTTAGAATTTTCTACAGGATCGTATTTTCTGTGGGTGGTTTCTTTCTTTTCTTCTCTTCTCACCTGGATCTTTTTATTGCCTTACTGACTCTGGATAAGGACCAGCACCATGCTGAGCAGGAGTGAGGATGAACACTCTTGAATTTATCCTGATTTTAAGGAGGAAGCATTCGCTGTTTTCCATCTTGTATAATATATAGGGTAGATCATTGTAGAAGAAGCCCTGTGTCATGTTGGAGATGTTCCTATCTGTTTCTGGTTCTCTCAGAGTTCTTACAAAGAACATGTACTGGAGCTTCTCAAATGCTTTCTGCATTTATTAGGATGACTCTATGGTCTGGCTTCTATTTGTCTGTTGATATGGTAAGTTACATTGTCTGATCTTCACTCAGCAAGTCAGCCTTAGATTCCTGAAATAAGTTGCATTCTGCCCTGATGTGTTGTGATTTTCATATATTGCTGGATTTTATTTATTCCTATTTTGTGGAGAATGTGTGCATCCATGTTCATGAGAGAAATTGGTGTGTGGTTTTATTTCCCAGTAATATCTCTGTTGGATTTTCATTTCAGGATACTGCTGACTCAAGAAAGGGACTTGGGAAGTGTTTCTTCTTCTACTTGTCTTGTATTTTGGTCCTTTTATGTTGCTCTGACAAAATACCTGAAACTAGGTAATCCATAGAGAAGAAAAGTGTATGTGGTTCACAGTCCTAGAAACTTGGCAGTTCCAGAGCATGCAGTCTCATCTGCTCAACATCTGGTGAGAGCCTCTTGCTGGGCTCTACCATGGCAGGGGCATCATGGGAAAGTGTCCCAGCTTGGGTCTCTCTTCGTCTTCTTATACAGCCACTCATGCCATGATGGGGCCATAACCTCAAGACCTCAACCAATCCTAATTACTGATCACAGGTCAACTCCCAAATAGATTAACGTAGGAACTGGGGATTAAGTTCCTGATACAGGAACATTGGGGGCCATAGTTAAATCATAGTGTTTTATGTCTATGTAGAATTGACATTATTTTCTCCTGAAATGCTTGGTAAAATTGATCAGTAAAGCCATTTGGGTCTTACTTCTCTATTTATAATGTATATGTGTGTATATATATATATTTATCCAATATAGGGCTGTCTGGTTACCTATTTGAACTGTGAACTGTGATGATTTGTGTCTTGCAAGGACCTACACTGTGCACTCCACTCCTCAGGTGCTTAAATGTTGTCCTCAGTATAGTGTCAGAGTATCACAAGGCCTATGTTCATGCTATCCTTAAACCTTAGTTTACTTAGTGATGGCCCCAAAGCTCCAGAGCAGTGATGTTGGCAGTCAGATGTCACTGAGATGCTATAGCATGCTTCCTTTAAGTGAAAAGTTGGAAGTTACTGATGTAATTAAGGAAGGAAAACCATCCCATGCAGA